CAGCATCAAATTAGTCCCCATCATTACAATCGATTACATTGCGATTTTTGCTGTCGGGCCTTTGTTTATTACCAAATGCTAGTTTCGGTGTTATAAAAAATCAGCTATATCATGCTTAGCCTTTTACGATTTTCTAAATACTAAAAACGTTTCTATCTATAAAGATGTAGAGGGTATCATGTTGAAGATTTGAACATCTTTCTGAAGACGAAGAAAAAGGATTTACGTATTTAGGGTCAAGATCTTACTTCAGAATCTATTATTTCATACAATCAAGAGATCAATTTTTCCTTTGTAAAAAAAATAATTGTGTTACATACTCAAAGAGCTTTTTTAATTAACATTAATCGGTCAAAATATTGTAAAAGATTTTTGCACTTAAAAATCTGATTTAAAATATTACAATAAGCTATTTGGGTTTAAACGATTATTACAATTAGCCAAAGTTAAAGGTTCTGATTTTGAAATAATTTAATGTCATGATTTCTTTTATGTCTGCTACTTTCGAATGTCTTTAATTTTAAGTTACTCTTTAATATTATGTCAATTGACTAAGCCCCATATTTTTTATATTAAACAAGTATCGAAGGTGGTGGCGCTAGTGTTATTGATTTTTGGCGGGAGATTTGACAGATTTGATTGATGAAGACAAAGGCTGATTTTTGTGATGAACGTTGTACTGATAAATTATTAATAATGGTTATCAATATAATTTGTAAAGATAACAGTTTGGTGTGTTTTTAATACAAGTGTTTAAAAGTGAAAACCAACTTTTATTGGAATTACTTCACCCCTCCTTGATATACCTTGATAAGCCTTGATATATTTTTCCTTCCAGTGTTTCGGTTTTAATTCCGTTTCGAACTCGTTCCATCAACTCGTAGTTCATCGTCAAGGACCAGGCTGTAACGTAGATTAGTTTTATTTAACTAGGGGTCTTCTTGTCTTCAGAACCGAAGACTTTAGAATATAGGTTTCACTATATAACACTCTAAACACGAGCTGCACAATATATTTAGAGATCTTCCAATTAAGGAACATTTATAGCATCCATTACATATTAGCTGTAGACTGCAGTCCTATTTCATTTCTAGTGTCCGTGAGATTGAGAGTATGATCGGAGAGTTTTTGTGTCCTAACGGTTCGGCCTTAAGATGGACATGGACAATGTGAACATCATGTTTAATTGCCATATCATGCCTATACCTGTTGTTATTGTGTTGTGTTACATACCCAGTCACAATCGTACTGCACCTGCATCAATTGCGCAATGACCGGTGCTTCATTCAATAAAATGGACCACCGGCAAAGTGCGGCGCCTTTCGTCATCCTAAATTCGGACCGATTGGACACCCCTTACTGTCTTAAGTATCAGTAGATATACACCAGAGTAGTGGGCACCCCTTAGTGTCTTAACTTTTGTGAAAAACCTTTAATAAATATTATTTTATATTAAATCGGTTTTTTAAGATCCTCCGCTATAATTTGCTCTAAGTTGTTGACGAGTGCGTTTGTTTACAGTTAGTCCACGTAGGAGAGTCCAACTTAGCAGAGGTCAATAGGCGAACCAGACTCGTTAATTCTTCGTTCATTCTTTCATTTGGGAAACTTCGACATATCTTCTGGTTCAATATGCCTTAACATTAACATTTACATGCTAGTTTAAATATGTTTAACTTAATATTTTTAATTATGTTTAGAACCGAGTCAAGGCCCAACACTGCCGGCCGTATGAGAAAAGTCGTTCAGCAAGGTATGAAGCTTTAATAACCAAGGTTACCGACATAGCTCAGTAGATTACTGGTACGGGAACTCCACAGATTCCTAGAATAACAGATAGATTTTTTTTATGTCAGGAAGTGGCAAACGAGCTGATGGTTCACCTGATGTTAAGTGATAACCGCCCGCCCATGGACATTTGCAGCCCCGTAGGGTTACAGATGCGTTGCCACCTCTTAATAATGTGGGCCCCGGCTTCCTCACTCACCAGATGAAACGCAAAAGTGCAACACTTCTGCTTTGCGGTCTTCTGTGAGGTCGTGGTGCTTACCCGGACGGACCTGCGCATTCGTGCAACAGTGTTGCATGGCCCTACCACCGCGCACCAGATTTACACATAAAGGTGAAGATAAAAAAACTATGCTAGTGGTAGAAGTTTCTTGTGCCAATTATTTACTTCAGGTACACAACTTGAAAACATAGGCTAAAACAGTATTGCTTACGTAATCCAAGCATCCACTGACACAAATTTTTATTTATTCAGATTGTAAAACTAACATTTATCATCATTACACTAAATTTACTTGTGTGTCACTAACATACATTGCCTTTGCACCGTCTGACGATCTTATCGTCATTGAAAATGTGATATGATCTCAGATTATCCATTTAAAATTTTAGATTTTGTGTTATTTTAAATTATGGAATAATTTTGACACTGTTTTTTTTAAATAGAATAACAGTAGGAAAATAAGGTCAACCTGTCTCTGTATATCATTTCACAAAGTTTATTTAATCTTAACGCTTTAGCTTCTGTTATTCTTTCTCAAAATTAATGATTAAAACAACTTTCTGAAGCATATTTTTATTGAAAACTTACATTTTATCCACAAGTTACTTTTTTCAAAAAAAAAAAAAAACTCACACCCGAGGTCAGGTTTGAATCTCGCAATGCCGGGAGTACTTATTTGTTCATTTATATATAAAACTTTACAATTGAAAAAAAACTTTTTTATAACTTTGTTATAAAATTGTATTAAGCATGAATGATAATGCCATCTTTGACAATTTGTTTAAATAAAAGATTAGATGGAATTGCACTATTATTTTTCAAAATGAGATACCTTTAGTTGATAAATATTTATTTGAATGTTACATTATCATCCCATATATGACATGTCATAAGTCATATTATATGACATGTGGCATAATATCGCATACCATATTACATCAAGGTACTGTGCTTATAATTTCACACGGGTCAGCCTGTTTAAAGAATTTTGATACCATCATCATTATCATAATCATCATGATAAATACTTATTTGGATGTTATATTACCATCCCATACATAACTACATATCGTATTAGTTGACATATGTTCATATGTGGAAATCATGTTAGATAATTGTACTGTGCGGAAAATGACGAGTCAACCTATTTAAAGATTTTTGATATCATTTTAAAAATAGTAAAGTAACCTTAAAATTTGTAGGGAAAAGGAACGAAAAGTTTTCCGCCACTGTGGTAATCAAAACCACGTCTTCGGAATTCGCGCCCTGACGCTCTAGCCACTAAGCTAAATGGTTGATTTCCATACCGACGCAATTCTCAACGTCCTTTATCTACATGTTTTTTAGAATTTGAAGCAATGCTTGGCGCATCTATTGTTCGAATTATCGTTTCACAATGTTTTACATTGATAATTCGAACGAGAGATGTCACCATTGTTTTTTAGAATTTTTTATAGTGCTAATCTCTACACTTAGAATAAAGGAACGGAAAGAAATTATTTAGAAAACGCGATGTTTATTTACCGCAATAAGCACTGCATCGAACTTAACGTATTTTAATTCATTCGAATTTTTCAGGTAACGTAGAACTAAACAACTAAATTAAGAAAAAAATTAAATTTCACTTTGTTTTGTAAAAAATTTGTGTGTGTAACATGACAACGAGTTTATTACTCCTCATTTGTATTCCATTGCCCTATCCACTAGGCCAAGTTTAAATAATTCTTTTAGGCTCTTCAAAATGATTAGTGTCTCGATATTATACAATTAAATTTAAAAGTAGGTCGCAACTTCCATTTATATTTACGTAGATACATACAACACTTATTGTTTAAAAGTGAGTCAAAACAGGCACAGGTACTTCAAATAAAATGTGATAGTTGAAAAGTAGGAATATAGAAATTTATAGGGACATTCTGAAGCTAATATCTATCTAATTAATCTGTGTTTTTACGCAGTGATAAGATTAGCAATAATTACATTAAAAAAGTTTCGTTCCTCAATTTATCGGTTTTTACTTTATTATCATGTGATCACTTGACTGAGTTTAATGGACAACAGCAATTGTTAAAAATTATAATAATACATCGCGGAATTTACTTATAATTATGGAGTTTAAAATGAAATTGTGGTTGTTTACATTATGTGGCATAGTGAGCTTATGCGATTCAAGAAAGAGAAAAACATTCGATGAAAATGTGAGCCATCCTCCATTTGACCAAGCACTGTATGAAGAAGTTTTAAATTCAGAACTATGCGAACGGCAAATAAATTATTTAACAAATAACGATACAATATTATTAGCTCGATGTAAGTCTTAATCCCAATTTCAATTTAAAATTATTCATCTTCATTTTATAGTTTTATTGAGATTGCCGCCCTATATATTGTAATTTGAAAGAATTTTATCTTAAAGTAGAGGCAATTTTAGACATCCAGTTCATTGAACTTTCTTTTTTTTGTGAAGTGTCAGGCCCAATAACACAGGTTGCTTCCTATAATCGAGAGCAAAAGGTTTCACCAATTTATGTATTAAGCTCGCATCGAAATGTTCTAGTCATTTAAAACCAGATTTTCTTACCAAATAATAATGTAATAATAGAAACTTACTGTCTACTGTACTATATTCTATCAAAAATTATGTAGACAACATTTTCCTTCAAAATGAAAATTATGAAGCAATATATAAAATATTAATTTTAATTTATTTACAGTTCTTGACGCTGGTGTTCGAATACCTAAAGGTATATTAATAGGTAATAATATGGATTTGGGTAATTACCACCAGTGCTTAGGTATACAAGAAAATGTTGGCGATATGAATTTCCAAGGAAAATATTGTATGATACATGCAACATTCAATCAAGAAATAAAGGAGTCGCAATATGACTTTTTAGAATGGTCTAATATCGATCTTCATCATTTTCACGTAATTCAAAATATAGTCAGCAATGCTACATTTAAAAGGAAATATACTAGTTTAAATTCAATGTATGGACCGGATTCCCAAATATTAGAAAGGTATCGTACACACTTTGTTAATAGTTATTAATTAATAAAGGATAATTAAATTACAATATACTAACATTTTTAAACTTGTGATATCTTTCGAATGAAATGTCTGGATTGAATAATTCAAAAAGTTATATAAATATATAGAAATAAATATAAAGTAACTTATTTTTATAACGAATTAATACCAAGATACAAATAAAGAGCCTTTTCTAGCGGCGGCATTTCAATCAAAATTTTGAAATAAAATAACACTTATTGTGGCATAACTATGTCTATTGTGCTTGTGAAGAATACAATAAATACAATTGATAATGGTTTAATTACATAACTTAGACTTATAGGTTGACTTATAGGACTTATAGGTTAAAAGTTGTTATTGGTTGCCATTGTAATACCGTGAAGTTGTTCGAAGTCGGTCGCTTTGCAAACAACTTCATCATGTCGCTGTAGATGTGCGGGCGCATTGTAAAAATTTTACTCCCATATTTCTTTCCAAACACGCCAAAAAGAGAATTTCTACAACAATATGCAATGTGTTCCAAGTTGATTTGTTAAAAGTGTATTGTTTATATTTAGCAAATGAAAATGTTCCTTTCAATTTTGGTAAAATTTGAGATCTTATAAAGTTAATACAGTGAATTGATTTACTTTTTAGAGACAATTGGTCGAGCTCAATATCTAGTTTACAATATTCTCTGGCTCTTTGTATACCAGCATCGTGTACAACAGAAGAAAGTATTAATGCGTTGCCGTTCCAAGTCAGTGAAACTGGATTAAATTTTGAAGAACGATTCTGTCGCCTTCCCAACGACAAGCCTTGGGCACCGGTTGATTATGTTGCATTGTAAGCCATGAATTGGAAATGACGATTATTTTTTATTTTACTTTTTACAAACCTAATCCCCTCGTTCTTTTTTTAGAGTAATATTCTCTATAATTGGTATTCTGACCTGTCTTAGTACCAGCTATGATTTATATTACACGAAGATTCTTAAAAGGGGTATGTAACGAAAGTTGGATATGACGAAATTTGAACAATAATGAAATAAAAAGATCAGTCATAACATATGGAATTTATGCCAAAAATATTTGTTTCAATAATTATGTGTTTATATTCTCAGACTCCTCTAAGCGCGGTAACAATTCGTTGTACCTCTGCTGTTCAGTTTACACTAACACACGACGTCTACTCACCTTCACTTCTGGATCTGATTCTTTGGAATGTATAGATGGAATAAGATCGTTGGCAATGGTTTGGGTTATCTTAGGTCATAGTTTTTATTCGTTGCCTTTCAGCAAAAATCCTATTGAAACCTTCCAGGTAAGTGAAAAAAAAAAAAATCAAATATAAAAGCGTGTGTCTGTTGTGTGTGGGCTTATGCGTGTGCGTGTGCATGTGTGCGTGCGAGTTTGTGTTAATTACGTAACATGCCATATAAATAACAATTCTGTACACAAACTGTTGTTTTTAATTTTTTTGTAATTTTCACTCAACGTAAATATAATATTTATTAAGTAACTTTCAACTAGTTTCCTGAAAGCAATACCAAATTCATAAAATTCTATTTCAGTGGTCAATTTCACCAAACGCTCTTTGGATGACGACAGGGCATATCACAGTGGACACCTTTTTTATGCTGAGTGGATTGTTAATAGTGTATACTACAGCAGGAAAATTAACTGGAAGTAAATGCATTTTCTACCTTACTAATTATTACATACGTAGATTTGAGCCAACCAATTATATAATTAGGAAAAAGGTCTATGAAAATGAGAGCAATGATATGAATATAATGATAAACTGTATTCAGCAAATATGCAATGACATGGTTTTAATACACTACATACATGTTTATGCAAAAGGCCTCTTTCTTTATGGAGTTTTTATACTACTTTATCTTTACATACTGTAAATGTGTTTTAAACATAACTTTTCCGAAACAATATGTTTAAGATAGTTTAAGTCTTTAACGATTATAAATTCAAAAGTGGAAGTAGTACGTACATACTAGTATAATACATAAACAAAGTAATTACAATCGATAGTAAACATTATCATGCAAATATACTTAATAGCAATCACATAATGTAATCAAAAACGTGATTCATATTCTTGTATAACATTTACGTGAAAACAGCTCGATAAGGAGTAGAATGATTACTGATCTACGTCTATGGTTTGGTAGAGGTCGAACAAAACACGGAAACATGAAGGAAACTTACTATTGATTTTTACTTTTATTGCCAAAATCAATTCATTTCTAAAGTGTTTTATCATTGCACTAACATTATAAAAGCCTTTAACACACAAATATTCCTTAACAATTTTTTTTTGAAGTTAACAAGTGACAATTTTTGAACTTTTTCTGGGATTTTCTTAAAAAACGTGTACATTTTCATGAAAAACATCCCATAAAAGATTTACTTATACGACACAGTGTAGTTGTGCATAGAATCAATTTATGTCTGTTCCTAGTTCCATCATGCACATTTCTGTCATGAAAATTCTTTATGGAAATAAATAACATTTTAAAGTATGTTCTGAGAATCAACATATTATAATAGTCCATACTTTTTTTTCTTTGGACAGAATTCTTTGAGTTCTGAGTTTTTTGAGTTCTGTTTTAACATTCTGGAATGTAATAACTGTCTTGCCTGACTATTAATTATGTATAAACATATTGTTTCTCTTTTCAGAAAAACTGTTGCTAAATCTACACAAGTTTTACTTAAATCGGCTTTTACGCATGTTTCCTGTACTTGCTGCAGTCACATTATTCGAAGCATCGTTTTATAACCGAATATCTGATGGTCCTTTTTGGTCTGGACCAGCTATGAACGTTTCAAGATGCAGGCAGTACTGGTGGTCAATCTTACTTCACATACAAAATTTCGTTAATCCACTAAACTTGGTAAGTATTTAAACATAGTACATAAACGAATATATGTCTTATATTATATGAACATTTTTGTTTGGATATCAACAAAATTATTTCTATGTACCGTTTCAGTGCCTTGGAGTAACGTGGTATCTGTCGATAGATGTTCAACTGCATATTCTTTCACCTATTGTGCTCTTTTGGGTTTTAAGCACAAGAAGATACGCAGCATGGGGAGCTTTAATAATAGCTCTACTATCCGTACTTACAGCCTCAACTATATACATATTCCTAAACAATTTTCCTTCTGGAATAATTTCCCCTAAGTAATTTTTTGTTATATACAATTTTATATAAATATTCGTTCGAATTATTTAACAATGTATTAAATCGTTTATCCCATATACAGCGTGTCGTTACCATCGCGACAATAAATGAACACACGTCTAACGGTACTTGCCAATAATCATAAAAAAATATTAACGTTAAACAAAATCCATAATTAAAAAAAAATATTTTTCAAACGAACTAATTAAGTAAAAAAGAAACAAAATTTGTAACATCCTATACAACTCGCGCCACAGCGTCGTATTACAAGCCTCTCCTTCTAACAGTATGTTTTGTCTCTTTTAAATTCATTCAACCCATTCATATGCTTTGTGACCTTTACAAATGAACTTTACGTTACGCTTTTATAGGTAAGGGTGTTCTAAAATTCTTTGTTTTGGAAAATTTTATAACTCTGTAAATATTGATGTTTAAAGAATTTAAATGTTTAATACAACTTTGAAAAGTTATCCCCTATATGTGTGTTCATTTATTGTCGCGATGGTAACGATGTTTAAAGAATATAAAATATTTAAGGTGTTCTAAAATTCTTTGTTTTGGAAAATTTTATAACTCTGTAAATATTGATGTTTAAAGAATTTAAATGTTTAATACAACTTTGAAAAGTTATCCCCTATATGTGTGTTCATTTATTGTCGCGATGGTAACGACACGCTGTATAAGGTTTCCTTTTTGATTTTTTTTTACCAAGAAATGATAGAAAGTAACTTAAAACTCCATCAAAATTCGTTGCATATTTCGGTTAAGTGTCTTTGCTTAGTGTAATTAAGTTTTGTTGAAAATTTTTAGTACTGTGATAGTTCTTTGGAGTACAATTTTATTCTTCCATTCTTCATCACTTTTGGACTAGCAATAATCGGATTAACGTAATTGGCTTTATTATTAAATTTGCGCACACTTTTGACGTAATTTAATAAAAACTATTAATTCAATATACTAGAGCAACCTTAGTTCAAATTCCGGTCTCAGCACCATAGAAATTGTTAATTGCAATTGTCATCACTTGCATCCTGAAGAAACCTGTAAATAATAATGAAAAAAAAAAACATTTAGAAAATATGTGAATTCTTAGTTCTTTCTGTACATAGGAAGTCTTTACTTTTTTTTACTTTTCCAGTCGCGCAGATGATATGGGCGATTACTTCGTGTATTATTACGTAAACAGTTTGACGCGAGCCTCGCCCTTCTTCGTAGGAATGATTTTTGGATACTTATTACACTTATGGAGAGGAACGGAGATAAAAATTACAAAGGTCCCCTATATGCTTTATATATATAACCCTACATATACAATGTAGTAAATCATTACAGGAATTAATAGAAACTTAATTAAATTAATTTCTTGTTTCAGGCCTTAGTAACGTTGTATTGGTGCGGTACGGGCCTTATCCTTGGCTCCTTGATATATTTCATGTATATAAATATCCAACTCGATTGGGACAATCAGATTGCTGACAATCTTATCAATTCATTTATGCGCTCCTTATGGGCTGTTAGCCTGGGCTGGATAATCTTTGCATGTGTCAAAGGATATGGAGGTGATTTATAGTCATAAAGATTTCTAGCAGCTAAATTGACTTATTTCATCTTTCGAAACGTGAAAAACTAAAACAGAAAATAGTACTTGTTCATGTCTATCTCTCACCAACAAGAGCTTTTTCAAAATCAGACCTACAGTCCTTTCTGAACCTAGGCACATCTGAGATTCTTGTTGGATAACTCGGTTGTAAACACGGAACTTGGAATTAAAACAGAACGAAAATCAAAGAAAAAAGAAGGACTTGTCCAACTCGTGCAAAGCTTTTCCACGACTTTGGTATTAGATGAAGCTTTTAATTGTCCCTGGACTGAAAGTGTATAATTATTAATACATGATCTATAAATATTACACATTTATTTATAAATGATTGTTCAGTTTCACCTTACAAACACTGTTACTTGAACACACTTTTAACTGCATTAACTTCTGCTGTTGCACGAATAGATATAATACAGTTCGTGGTTAATGCCACAAAAGGTATTACCGAGGACAACTCCACGACCTTACAAATTGCAATGATCATTGGTGCAGATGTTACCAATTATCATTTCAAGTTGTAAGTTGTAACCCGTCAAAGGGTGTGGATGCCCGTGGCCGAAGTTAATTACTACGATCAGATGAACCGCCTATTCCCTAGTAAGTTTCACAGATATAGATATCAAAAAGACACCCTTTGTTCATAGTACTATAAAAATTCATTGATATTAGATGTCTATTAAAAATTATTTTTTTTTTACAGGGCCAATCAATTGGTTTTTGTCACTACAAATGTGGAAGCTGCCTGCGCGCCTATCCTACGCCATGTATATTATTCACTTCTCGCTTATGCTTGCCTATTATAACTCAGCTGTAGAACCAATGTACTTCACTGTAGCATCTGTAGTAAGTAAACCGTTATTTGTACCGAACAAACATTTGCGATATTAGGTTTTTTCACGAAATAAAACATAAAACCACCATAAAATTTTCAAAAGAGGGCTTCAGCTTTGAAATCTTTTGCTTGTACTAAATGTTTTATTAAAAACACGGTTAAAAACTATCTTGCAAAAATACCTAAATAATATATACGTCATACATTATTATTATTTATTTGCAACGTGCTAATTTATTTAACCATTATTTAAGCATTGGTCAATTTTTTTCAGATGTTCAACTTTTTCGCGTTCTTATCCATAGTGGTGATATTGGCTATTGTTGTCACAGTAGTTATCGACGCACCGTTTTCAACACTCTTCAAAGTTATGTTAGGAACTGGTAACGTATACTTTTTATTTACACACTAGCTTGATTAATTGATTAGGTTTATTTTAATACAAAAATTTGTGTTAAAATACTGCAGTTCTGCATTTCTGCAGTGTGTGTACATACATATAAAAAATCATTAGCTTACTTTAAGAACAAAATTCCGATATAATTAGATATACTGTAGGCTTATGTTTTTTCTGATTATGTTGTTACATTAAAATTTTATTATTTGTGGTAAACTGTATGTCTAGGCTGCCGAAAAACTGTAATGTTTGTCGAGCGTGTACATACATGTATGTAAGTATATAATTATGTATGTGTGAATGTATGTATGTATTATGTATGTATGTATTATGTATGTATGTATTATGTATGTATGTATGTCTCTAACTCTTTGTAGCGCTCATTAGCCAAAGGTTTTTGACATACGAGCTAGAAGTGTCGATAGAATTATCTCAGTTGTGAGACGTAGGATGTATTTTCTCAATATTTAAACCGCCAGAAAAAAAACTGATGAATAATACATATTTTTAATACACGCCAGTTTATGTATCTTTTAATAATTTATGCGTACTAACTTTTCAAAACAACCTTATAGTGACGAATTACATATCAACAAATAATTCAGAAGGCCATATACATCTGATGTAATTATTATATCTACGTTCACAGGTTCCAAGCAACCAACTAAAGTAGTTGATAAGGAAATTAGACCAGAAACTATTGTACCATTGGATATAAAAACTGGTTTACCAATTTCGGCATTCGATACTGAGCAAAATAAGCTAACAAATGTTAGATTTTGAAGGAATTAGAAATTAACATGAAATTTATTTTCATTTACTACGCGTAAAATATTATTATGTTTTTATGTAGATAAACAAAGTTTATTTTTTGTTAGAATATTCTATTGTATAAAATATGTTTGCAGTTAACATAGTTTACTCTGATTTATAAATGCACTGCAAGATAAGATAAATATTACAAACATCAAAAAAGTCGAAGCAACACCGCCTAATTTGGTGTTTTTTCGGTTAACAGACAAAATCAGTACTTTTTAATATATTATTTTTAGTCTTTTAATAAAAAAAAAAACAGAATGATTCATTAAAGAATAAAACTTACTAGTAATATACAGGAAAAAGGGAAATTTGGTAAAAAGGGTTTTAATAAAAAAAATATGAATAAACTTTTTTATAATAAATTTCAGTCCTGCTGTTGTTGGGTGGATAAACTGTCTAGTTCTTTAAAACTTTCCTCTGGAACATAATCCTACGCTTGGTTAATTGGGTTGAGTCCTTGTGGTTTTATGTCAATAATCATTGTCGTGCATCAGAGTAAAATCTGAGCTAATATTCTGTGAAAAGTGAAGAGCATGAGGCCGCAGAATTTTTTCACGTGACAGTTAGCGTCTAAGTTGCCATTTGTGAAAATGAGCTCAGTTCCTCTCATCATCATCATCATCATTTCAGCCTGTTTGATTCTGCTGAATTTAAGCCTGCACTACATACTCCATCATTAGAGGGGTTTTGCCATAGTTGCCATACCTGGTAAGCGGGTTGGCAATCTCAGTACCTCCAGATACCTCGCAACTTTAACGTAATTGGCCTGGATTTTTTGAGTTTGGAGAGTCGAGATGGTTGTCCCGCCATCTATCGGAGTTCACTAGATTTTTGTGACTTTTCCCTAAGTCTCCTCTTACGACACCCTCGGGATGAGATTTGAGAGACGGCGTTTGCCGTGTGGTGTGTAAGTCCAAATCGGGACTCGTTATCAAATAGAATTTTGTCCCATCGCTCTTGTGGCCACTCTTTCACTCCCGTTTTTTTTGTGTTCGACCTCTATTTCCACGATAGATGGGTGGTCACCATATATGGCGTTGTGCATGATGGAAATACGAGTATAAAACAGACATGCAGTCTGTTTTATACTCGTATTTTTAGGGCTTTACGCTACGCTAGTCGAGTTTTGAAGCATTAATCTGATATTTTGTTCTGTTATCTTAGCTTGACGTCTTACGGTGGGTTGCATGAAACGATCTGTCCGAGTAGTCCCACTCCTTCCTCGAAACGAAAGGATATAACAATAGATGCGCCAAGCATTGCTTCAAATGCTAAAAAAAAAGAATGTAGATAAAAGACGTTAAGATTTTCGTCGTTGTGGCAATCAGCCATTTAGCTTAGAGGCTAAAGCGTCAGGCCGCTGACCCGCCCCGAAGACGTGGGTTCGATTCCCACAGCGGCGACAATCTTTTCGCACTTTTCTACAAGTTTTAATAAAAAAATATTTAATTTTAATGAAATATTATTTTAATTTTACGTTTTGTAAATTTAAATGATGTTTCACTTTTGTAAAATATAGCACTTATCGAAACAACATGTCACAAGGGCGTGTTGCTTAGACTTTATTGATGTGCATATTCTTTATGATTGACTTTCAATTATCAATTATCAATCAAAAATTTCAGTATCTTTTACCACATTATTCTACAATCTGTTCATTTTTTTGGTAGTCTACTTTCAGGTATAAAAAACCCTAAAATTAATTTGCTACATCATTGGACTAAAGAATATTGAATTTAAATTTTATTAATTTGATATAAACCAAAAGAATACAGCCTTGCATCTAATATGTAAATAAACTTTTACAAACATTTTGCATTATTATTTCATTTGACCTTAGAGTAAATTCACGTTGGCCACGAACGCAAAGCTTTAAAATTATGCATTTTCCGACACACAACGAGGCCTTAATTTTTAAGTCTGTGTAATATTGGTTAGTAATATTCGCGATTATTAATGTAGATGGAAATTGTAGTAGCGACGGAAAGGAAGCTGTAATTATATTGTAGTGTTTCCTTGGAGGACATCGACTCTAAAAATAACAATAAATGAATTACGCTGACCCATAAAATTACAATAAATGAACTATGTTATATTATCGTAATAGTTTGATTGACTTTTAAGTAGTAGTAGTACACATAGATCGTACCTACATATTGATGAGTACAAAAAGTAAGTTGATTCTTAAGTTGTAGAAGTAATAGATAAGAACACTCAGTTATTTCTTTTACTTTTTAGTGGATATTAATTTGTTTTGAAAAAGATATTTTTTAAGTCAGTTTGTTTTTGTCATAGTTTAAATTGGTGTAATTAGATGGCAATTCTATAGACTGCTATCTCTTTCCGTATCATACGTTCTATATCCTCTGTCACATTCACTTATACGTCGTGTCGTTACCATCGCAACAATAAATGAACACATGTCTAACGCTACTTGCCAATAATCATAAAAAAATATTACTGTTAAAAAAATTCCATAATTAATAAAATTATTTTTCAAACAAACTAATTAAGTAAAAAAGAAACAAAATTTGTAACAGCCTATACAACTACAACTGACTGATTCATACATTCAGAGACTTTTTCATTCGTTGCCACAGCGTCGCATAACAAGCCTCTCCTTCTAACAGTATGTTTTGTCTCTTTTAAATTCATTCAACCCATTCATATGCTTTGTGACCTTTACAAATGAACTTTACGTTACAGTTTTATACGTAAGGGTGTTCTAAAATTCTTTGTTTTGGAAAATTTAATAACTCTGTGAATATTAATGTTTAAAGGAAGTAAATGTTCAATACAATTTTAATAAGTTATCTTCTATATGTGTGTTCATTTATTGTCGCGATTGTAAAGACACGCTGTATATGTCATAACATAATGTAATGCGGAAAAATGCTTAAACGCCGCCCAGTATGAACAAGTATCATCTTTGTTAAAACATCATTGCCTCTCAACACTGAATCAATTAATTTTATATTCCGCATAAGTAAGTGCGTGGTGAAAACTTCAATAAGTGTTATAAGTTGATGTCGAACAACTTAGCGTTTTCTCCATTCTATCCCACAAATATTTCTTAGTCTTAAAACGTTTTATACGAAGTATTTTTATAAGGAAGTCGTATAAATCCTCAAAGGAAATATTAAATACGGCCCCGTAACAAGACAAGCTGGTTGGTTACAAGCGGATTTTACTATAAGACTCTTGGCAAACTTGACTAAGAAATACCCATGTCTTGTGTAGCCTGAATAAAAAGGTTGTAACAGTCATTTATGACCCGAGACTGTCGGTCGACATTCCAGTGGTTTATTAGCAGAATTATTCCGAACAACGTCAAAGTCAGCAGAGCAAGAGTCATTTCCACCAATCCTAGTCTTCCAAATTTTATTGTAAGTATAATGTAATACAACTACTAAGAAACGATTTACTGGTTTTAGCCAGTCTTAACTTTGGTAATTCCATAGTGTCACCACGCTGTTGCCCGATTGAGCAGGTCCATTGGGGGAAGACCAAAGACGGAGGACGAATAATATACTTCTGCATTTTGTCTGGTGAGTGAGGAAGTCGGGCTCACTTTATTTGAAGTTGGCAATGCATATACACTACACAAGGGTATTGCAAAAGTCTGTGGGTTTTTTTTTGCTGGTGGTAGGGCCATGCAGGAGCCTCGGCTGTTGCACGAATGGGCAGGCCCGTCCGGGACGGATTGCCGTCTGGGTCAGGTGCAATATACGCAGATTTTGTTCTGTCGATGCTAACCTCAGATCTTCGGCCAGAAATGTCTAAGGTAAGTGTCTTTTCAGATCTCTTCAACACTCTGTAGGGGCCTGTATAAGGTGGCTGTAGAGGGCGTCGAACGGAATCTTCGCAGAGAGAAACACGTGAGTAGCATCAGGTAAGTCCTTGAAAACGAAAGTTTTAGAATTCGTGTGACGTGATGCTGGAACGGGGCGAAGTTCTGCCATCCGTTTTCGCAACTGTGCAACAAAATCATCGTCCACGGTCTGAGGGGAATTGCTAGCCACCAGGAACTCGCCTGGTAGGCGTAGCGGTTCCCCATACAAAACTTCTGCAGCTGACGTTTTGATGTCATTTTTTAGTGCCGCCCTGATTCCGAGAAGAATGAAAGGTAGGGCATGGTACCAAGAACTCTTGTGACACATTAAAGGGGCCTTTAAATGGCGGTGGAAACGCTCTATCATCCCATTAGCTTGGGGATGATAGCTCGTAGTACGAACGCGTTCTGTGTCTCCTAAATCCATCAGTCTGTTAAAAAGTTGGGACTCAAATTGACGTCCCTGGTCCGTTGTGACAGTGATCGGTACACCAAAGCGAGCGATCCAGCCATGGGTGAATTGATCAGCGACTTCTACTGCGGTTATCGACGACATGGGCCAAACTTCGGGCCAGCGTGAGAAACGGTCTACTGCTGTTAGGCAATAAGTGAATCCGTTTGAAGAAGGCATCGGTCCAATAATGTCCAGGTGAACATGATGGAATCTGCCTGAAGGTGTGCTAATGTTGCCAAGCGGTGAAACGACATGGCGCGTTACCTTGCTGCTCTGGCAGGCGAGACACTCGCGTGCCCAGGAGCGGCAGTCTTTAGCAATGCCTGGCCAAACATAGCGGTCGCTAATGACGCGCGCGGAAGCGCGTGCGCCGGGGTGGCTGAGACCATGTAGGCGATCGAAGACGGCTCGCCGATATTGTTTTGGCAAAAAGGGTCTAGGTTTGCCTGTTGACACATCACACAAAACGGAAATGTTGGATCCAGGTATGAGGGTTGGCTCTAACTGTAAAGAAGAATGGACCTTTACGGTTTTAAGTTCGTCGTCCGTCTGCTGAGCTTTTGCCAGGGCTGCGAAATCGTCATCGAGCGTGATAGCCTCAATGCGGGACATTGTGTCAGCAACGATGTTGTCTTCCCCCTTCACATGTTTGATATCAGTTGTAAACTGGGAAAT